TTTTTTTCTGAAGTGCGGCTGGCTTGACCGCAGTCTAAATAGCGCTATACAAATAAAAAAAAATTGGTCGGCTTTAAGGTGGAAACAGATACGCATATTAAAATTTAAAAGCACATTTCTGTCACGCCAAACTGATGTCTGTCTAACTTTCACCTTTATTAGGTTATGCAGTAAAGCTAAATAAGTCAGCCTGGTCTGTACAGTTACGCACTTCCCTCACATCCCTCCTTGCGGTTTCATACCCATGATGCAGCGCGGCTCAGCCTGTCGCCATGATTCTTGTGCAGATGTTTTCAGAGCTCAGACTGAGGAGATTGCACGCTAAGCTAACGGCCTGAAGCTCTGCACTTAAACCAGTTTCAATGCACTCATCGACGTTGTAGAGATACAAGAGTCTCCAAGATAACATTCAATCTTGGGTTATGGCGACCAGTGCCGGGGGTATGATATGTACTATTGATTTACACTTAGTTTAGCTCCCAGCTAGTGCTAACGAGTTAGCTGCTTTTGTTTCATGATTCGCTGAGCTTCTGACATCTGCTGTTGGTTTGCAGATTGAACAGAGTTTACTTTTATGCCACGACTATATTTTTTTATTTCTATGGTGTGTCATATTGATGGTCGTGAGTCATTAGCAGGCGTGCATTTACATATTTACTCATTTGCGGTTGCTAACTATCTAGCTGAAGGGTTGCAATGATTGCGCAGCCCGTGTGTTTATACACAAAATGCAACGAATGATTTATACTTGGATAGTGATTTTGACATTTAAATGGCGGATGAAGAATTGTCGCGTGTGGACATGAGGTTGGGGCTGTATGGGTATGTAAGCATCTGTACCGCTGCCTCGACAGGCGGCAAGACTTGTTTTATCCAGGCCATAGATACAAATCATGTGTTTCGAGAAGATCTCTATCTAAATCAATACGGGGCTGTTTTGTCACACCGTAGTAGCAAGTACGTGTTTGTGTGTTAAATGTAGGCGTGATGTTATGTCAAGTGTGTGTTGTAGTGGTTTATTACAGAGACCAGGACCAGTTCCCGTAAAGCCCTTCAACCTGTCAATCGTACAGTGCTTCACTGTCAACTGCACAGAGGCAGATCAGATTTGAATGCTATTCTCAAGTTCAGTATTTGATTTAGATTACATGCTAATGGAAACGTGCTTCCCAGTGAACATAATGTTGTAAATTGGTAGTTGAACGGCTTAGAAAGTAAATATCACAGGAACTGCACTTGATACAGTCTTCCAGTGGCTTCTTCTAAATAACATTTGTACTGGTTAATTACTCACCCTCATGCCATTCTAAACCTATGTGACTTACTTTCTTCTGTGAAACATAAAAGAAGATATTTGAAGAAGTTTCTCTTTGTTTTTCATTTATATAATGGGGGTAAGTGGTCAGCGGACTGTTTGGTTCCCAGCATTCCTCAAAATATCTTCTTTTGTGCAGAAGAAAGCCATACAGTTTTGGAATGACATGAGGGCAAGCAAATGATCGCTGAATGTTTCGATTTTGGATAAACCGTCCCCTTAAGATTAGAGATATTCTTCAGAGACTAGTAAATTTGAGAAAAGAGAAATTGTGGCGCTTCAGAATCTTGAACCTGAACATCTCAAGCACAAAATCTTGGCTTTGCAGACTAGGGCTGAGCATATACAATTATTTAAACATGACACAGAGTATAATTTTATATAAATGTAATAATGTAAGACGAATGTGTTTCGTTCTCTTGTCTGCATGTAGATGATGAGTTTGATGAATATGATAAGCCTGGTGCTGAAAGGTCAAGAAGACGGAGAGGAGAAGATGATGACTTGGAAAGGTAAGTCTTCACTGTCTCATTACTGGATTAGATTTTATGTCTCTATTAAGCAGAATGAAAAAAAATAATAATAATAAAGAGAGCATCAGTTTCCCAGAAACACTCATAGCATTTCAGCAAAAGTCTTTCATGGCATTCAAAATAAATCTCACCAGCATAGATATAGAGTCTATTGGTTGCCGTGGGGTGTGGTTTTTGCAAAGCAAATGAAGTTGTTGCTTTAATATCTGCTTTAATGCTCTACTGAAATGGTGTAAGGCATTTCAAAGATTTATTGTGAAAGCACCATCTTTTTTAATCATAAATTTATCAATTCACAGTGATTTGGAGGAGGGAGACTTACTTGAAGAAGATTGGCTGTCATCAAAAAAGGTAAAGTGATTTCCATCATTGCCAGTTTCTCCTCTACTTAAACTTATTTTTCAGTTGCAGCCTTTTTCAGTGCTTTTAAGCAATCTTAACTGATAGAAATACATCAAATATTCCCAGCAGGTGTACTTAATGTTCAAGACTTATGAGGCCAACAACATATGTAACAATTTCACCAAAATATCAATCATATTAAGCAGAAGATTATTTATTTATTTTTTTGTCCACCCCAGAACCCCTCAGAGCTGTCAGATGAGGAGCTAAATGATGACCTGTTACAAAGTGATGAAGAAGACCAAAATGCAAGGTACCCTAACAAAGCCTACAAATACAACCCTACACTCTAACAAAAAAAATGCTGGGTTAAAACCAACTATTGCTGTTTTTTTTTTGACTCAGCTGGTTGGGTTAAATGTTTTTACCCAACATGATGGGTTGTTTTATTTAACTCAACTATTGTTTAAAAATTACTATATTGCTGGTTTAAAATGGGCTGGAAAATAAAAAATTACACAAAGAATTACTAGAGGCAACAGCAATAATCGAAAGATGAACATTTATTAATTAGCAAGAACACCCATGGAAAAAAAAAAAGACAAATTTAATTTATTTGGGTGAATAAAGCATAGTTTACAAAATTTATATTTACGCTACTGCTTGCTAAATCTGAAGATGAGATACTTTTTATGATTATGAATGTCAAAATAGTCTGCAGTATCCCAAAATAGCCTGTATTAAAAGTATTTTTTGACTTTTTTGCTTTTTATCGTTGTTGCACAGAAAAATGTAAGCTTAAAATGAATATAAAATATCACATTACCCAAACTGTTCACTTTTTAATTTGTAGGGTCAAAATTGCCTTCACCCCATAATTTATGCAAAGCTTCTAAAATCAATTTATGCTTGCTCTAAAATCAATAGTTCATCCATAACATAATTAGAGATGACATTGAACTAACTTTGACACCTGCCTTAATCAAACAGCTTTCTTTTTTTGCAATAAAAAAAAAAAGAGTTTAAAATAACAATTTTAGGTGACATGCTTCACGTCAGACTCTAATATAGTAATTGTGGTAACGGAAGGGCAAGCACAACAAAAATCTACAAATTCATCACTTTATTGTCCAGAGCTTAACACATGCTTGTCTGTTGATGTCTTTGTGTCTGTGATCCAGTGGTCAGGGTGACGTTGTGAGTTTAAATGCCACACTGGGTCTGGGCACGTCTGGGCACCTTCAAGATGAAGACCCTGACGGAGGTGGATACACTGAATACACCTATGAAGAGACAGAGGGGGGCCAACCGGGTTTCTCTCAGGGTGAGGAGTATGCGGGAAATGAGTACCAAGGAGAAGATGAAGAGGTGGAATACACAGGAGACCAGAATTGTGATGAATATCAAGATGAAGTGCTGGACCTACAGATCGACGAGCCACTGGATGATGATTTTCAAGTAAGTAACACTTTCTCTTGCTATCTCTATTGCTTGCACACACTCCCCATAATTAGGTCTGTTGCAGTGAAGAAATTTCTCTTTGAGGTGATTTTGAGTGGCTCAATATCACAATATGTGATATTATGGCTAGAGATGCAATGATCGACCTGCCAGCGACCGGAATTAGCCGTTTTTCCACATGATTGACCCGGACCGGTGACCGGCCAGTCAGTCTGACAATTCCGAGCCAGGCTGTTTTGACATCACACCTACGCTCATATCCGCATGTAAATATGTAGTCAGTGTGGAAGTTCTTCACTGTGAGTGAAGAAGACACAAAGTTCCCAATTTGTAATACGTGTAGGCCCAAAGTAAACCGTGGGGAACCACAGGAAGTAGGTTTTTTAAAGGGGCAAGTGAGAGAATTTTACATGCCCAACCGGACAAGAAGCCTGATTAAAACCTCCAAAACAAAAATAACTAGGGAAGCACTGAAACTTGGATTTTATTTCATTCAGTGTAAATGGCGACTGATAATGTATTGATGTCGTGCCAGATGAGGCTCGCGCAGCCTGTCTGATTGAGAGAGAGAGACGTGCAGAAATCAAAACAAATGAGCACAACATCAAACACAAAGTAACTCACAGAAAGTTACAGATACATAAATATTTATAAATATGATAAAGATATTTATAAAATATGATTTAGGTAAGCAACATTACACGACCAAGATGTTTCCTCGAATATCAACACGATTGCAAAGTGACACTGATTTTATACAATAGTAGTTCAATAAACAAGAAGTTAAAATTAAGTGACTTACATTTTAGACACATCATTGACTCTTTTTGCTCAATTTCGCAAACGAAAATAGTTCCAATCAAAGCCACAGCAGAACCACGTGTCTCCCAGCAATGCAGCACTGTTTGGTTACTGAATGAATCCACATTTTTGAAGGAATGGACTGAGTCAATGATTCAGTAACCCATTCATAAAGACAGTCACTTACCTCATCCATTTAAATGAATCAGCTGAATGAATGACTAAATGACTCGCTCATTAAAACAGTAATTTGCCACCACCTACTGGTGGTTTGGTTTCATATTTAAAAGTATTGTTGCATTTCTCCCAACATTTCTTAGTTGTATGTTCGAAAAATTATTTAAAACATTAATCTTATAAAATTATTTATGCACTTGCAATTTTGCAGTGTAAATGCATGTATGGCACCTCAGCTTCATCAAACAGTATGTGTAAATGCATCTAATGCCAGTTAAGATGCAGATTCCGTTTCCTCTGCAGTGGAAAGATGGAGTTTGTTGATACTGATTTCATTTAAATGGTAACAACTGTAAAAAAAAATTTTATTCTACCTGAATTAATTGAAAAAAAAGTAAGAATTTGATGTGAAAGATGACACATTTAATAGAGTTAAGCCTGGCTCACACTACAGGAGTTTTAAAGGTCCCATGGCATGAAAATTTCACTTTATGAGGTTTTACAAGATATTATTAAGATTATCATGCCAGAGGGAGCGCCTCACGTGATCTCACGCAGCAGATCATCATTGATATTTCAGTGATGTTTACATATGTTAGCTAGTGTGCTAGCTGCTTTCTACACTCACATTCAAAACTGAGGCGATTTCACTCCAGTGCTTCTCTTTGTCCTTACGGTTGTGATACGTTTTCGACACATTATACAGACAGTCTGTTACTATAAAACGTCAAGAAGCAGTTTCCTCCGTCTCCACTATCCAACGGGGCCGTACAGCAGCTGTTTTGTGGTCACGCATTGGCTATTGTGAAAGTACTGACGTAATCATATAGCCGTCATCATCCCGATTTCAATCCTAAATATCAAACATGGATGTAATCATATAGCCGTCATCATCCCGATTTAAATCCTAAATATCAAACATGTTTGATATGATCGGGCCGGCCCCGATTTGTGTGCGAGCAGATCGGGAGGTGCAAGATTCGATCTGTGAATGCCTCACATTACCAGATAATCCGCGCCGAACATCGGGACCGATCGAGGGGCTCGACAAGATTTTTGCTCCGATTCTCGGGAGGGGGAAATCGTGGCTAAATCGGGCTAAAAATCCTATAGTGGGAGCCAGGCTTTAGGGAAAAAAATGATCAGTTATAAACATAGTGGGAAATGACATCTGTTTTGTTATATACAGTTCTCAATTTCAGTTAATTGTTATTTCTACCTCTTTCCAGTCACAGAGCACTTTATTTTGAGAGTTGTTTAAGTGAGAGAACATCTGTAACTTAGTCCAGATTGAGGGAATTGACCTATCGGTAAGACCCCCGCCCCCCTTAGTTCCTGTTGCGAACTCGGACAAACAAACGGAGTTGCTAACTGTCTTACAATGACAGCTGTCAGTGTGAAAACCTTGTCCCAAGATGTTTTTGATAAATTTTGGACACAGAAGAAAGACCACCATTCAAGTGGGACTTAAATATGCCATAGAGGGCTATATAAAAGATTTTAAAATAAATATGGTGGGTAACAAGATTAATTTGGAAGAGAGGGTTTGCATTGTGAGGGATCACAATGCAAGCGGGAGAAGCCTCGTGTTACAGTCGTCACGATCGCAGATGACAATATCCAGGATTCATGTACCGCAGGGTAAGATTAAATTCATTTACCTTTATCCAGTTTAATATGGAGAGGCACTGAAATGTAGACCTTCGATTATGTGTTTTTGACTTACACTGTACATGACGTGAGAACAGTTAGCTTTTTAGGTTTGTACGTTAGCAGCTCACTATACATTAGCAAGTTTTAGCTAGGGGTGCTCCGATCAGGATTTTTGAGGCCGATCACTGATCAGCGATCACAGAAAGCAGTATCTGCCGATACCGATCTTTTTAAAGCCTTCTTTTTTATAATTTATACCTATTTATAGTGATACTCCAATCATAATTTTTAGACATTTATTCAGGGCCTGAATTTCATTTTTTTAAAATGGGGGGAATTCCCCTCTTAGGTGACTCTTGTGAGAGGGGAAGCAGCTAGGGATACACCGATACCAATTTTTCCAGTACTCGCCCGATACCGATACTTTTATTTTTGGTACTTGCCGATACAGAGTACCGATACTGATATTTTTCTTGCATTTGTAAATTTTAAAAATATTGGGTACAGAAACCAAAACAGTATGTATAATGTTAGTTGGTTAACTTCATTTATCAAATAGATAGTCAAACCAAAATTTATTCAGACACCTTCAACATTTCTCACATTATCACAGTTTATTCGCTATAGTTTAGAAAATGGTAATAAAATATAACAAGAACTCATATTTTAAACTGTGTTAAACTGTCAGAAATTCAGCTTGATAATGTTAGATAACTTTGATAGAAAGGTATGTAATGGATTACAATCAACCAAAAATTATTCAGACAGTATGACAGTAT